CAGCCCGGACGCATTTCCCAGAGACTCCAATATCCCTTAATTAAGGAATATACCTTAAATCATATTAGGGTTGCTACTATAATTTAAGGTATACCCCTTAATTAAGGAATATACCTTGAATTATAGTAGGATCCCGAATATGATTTAGAGTATATTCCTTAATTAAGGGATATTGGGGTCTCTGGGTTCTGAGAACTACTAACTGTGTGGTTTAGGGCTGTATTTATAGTGCATGCAAAAGTTATGTTTGGGGGGATTCCATCTAGCAGCTGGCTGCCACGAGCCTGAAAATAGGTCACTTGTCGACAGCAGCTGGCCCGGTACCAGAATCTCGGCTGGAGAGCCTTGTGCACACCCCTAAGGCCTAAACCCCTTCCCAGCCGACCCGAGGTTTGCCGAGTTCTTGCTCAGGGTGGCCCATACGAAGTGGCCACGTCTCACGAAGGCCTGCAGAGCAGAGCAGAGCACGTGCAAAGGGAGGTCTGCCCAGCTTGTTGCACATTCAGGAGGAGGCGCTGGACTGCCTCTTCAAGGAGTGAATTTGGAGTTCAAGTCTTTGCTGCTCTCGACAATCTTGCGGCATGGTGTTTGCTCAGCTGAGCATGGCTGATGACAGGAGCTGGCGGTCCTGTGTGTGAAGTACAGTGCCAGCCTCAGCCGTCTCTCTACCGTTCGCAGAATGGGAAGAACTGCTCCGAAAACCATTGGCTGGAGGCAGCGATATACGGACGCTCCTGAACTGTGGCTCGGACGATGTCGTGCAAGACACTTTCGTGAAAATCCACGGGACCACGCCCCTCGTCACATGCAGCACCGTTTTGGGGCGGGGCCTGCCGAGCAAACTTCCAGCCTTCAGATCGTCGTGTGGGATTCCATGGTTTGAAAGGCGGGCTCTCTTCGACGAGACGGCTTCCGTCCACGAAATGAAGTGCATGCCTCAGACACCAAGTCGGAGCCGGAAGATTTGGCCATGAAAGCCATGAGTTGGCATTGCCTTGGATTTCAATAGCGAGACCCTGCGCATGCAGATCCCGATGCTTGTCAACTGGTGGCTCATGGTTTTTGTTCCGCCTCCAAAGCCGTCTCTTTGAACGAAGTTTCTGCCTCGCTTGACTTCTCTTGCATGGTAGCTCTCCCTACAGCATAACTCTGCTTTTTGGTTTTGGGTTGGTCTTCGAGGATTGATAGGTATGGGACGTGGTCTTGGAGTTCTGCGCCATGACAGATCATGTCGTGGATGTGCGATTCTGTGAATCCATGCTGAAGTGAAGCTTTGCAGCCGCAGCCCCTGGCCAAAAAGCTTTAAAAATCACAACTCAGGTACGGGGAGAAGCTGATGACGCTGGAGGATTGGCGAGCCTTGACGGCAGCCAGATGTCTTCGCCACGAGATCGGTTGGTAGCGCTGTGATGCTCATGATGCTCGCTTAGCAGCTCCGTATGGGTCTCGGGGTGTCCTCTAAAACACGGCTACTGCACTGAGCCTTTTCAGAAAGGGGAGTTTAACAGAGTTACAGACTGCTGTTAGGCTCCTACTTTTGGTGCAGGTTTGGTCGGTTGGTCCATACTCACGGCCCGGCACCGAAGCTCACCCCGGCCCGTGCGCTTTGAGGACAGGTGACATGCAGAGATCGAGCATTGTGCTGAAACACCCCGAGGCACAAATCCAGAAACGTAGCATCGAGGCAAGCCAGAACTCTGATCCCCTACCTGTAGTCTCCATTGTAGTTCCGTTTTTTGGTTTGTTTAATCAGTTCTATATGAAGGGTTTTATAAGGTAACCCCAAAAAGGAACTACAATGGAGACTACAGGTAACCTCGATTCGACCTTGCCCTAAACGCCTGGACAGATGCAAACCCCAAAGCCGCGAGCCCCAAAGCGAGAAGTGTACTGTCCTGTCGCGGATGCTGTTCGGGCCCACGGTGCCGGCCCCTGGAGTTCCCGCTGGCTGCTCAGACCTGGAGTGCATCGGGTGGGGTGAAGCGATGGGCACTGCGAGAGGGCCCATCGCCAGATCGGGATCCTTCGTGTGGATCATCCGATTGGATTGGAGGGATCGGCTAGAAGTGGACACTGTGACAGGGCCCACTTCTAGGCACACGGGCACTGCGAGAGGGCCCGTGTGCAGAAGTGCGGCTGCTTCCGGCATCATTTGATAAGCTTGTATTATATTATATTCTATTATATTATATTATATTCTATTATATTATATTATAGTATAGTATAGTATATTATATTGGAACCATCGGGTCGGGGGATCATCGGATAAAGTTGGAAGGATTGTTAGTGCGGACCGGATTCAGGATTGCTCCTCAACAAAGCCAGCGTGTTCGAGCACTTCCCGGTCATCAAGAGGAGGGAAGTCGGTTACACCTATCGCATGGGGCTGGAAACACGGGCGGATGAGCAGCTTGGCGGAAGTGGGGCGCTTGTCTTGATTTCTTGCGAGTGTCTGTCACTTCTTGAAGCTCTGAGGCAGTACAACAAGACGTGGCAGCTGCTAAGATACGAAGACTTCCAGCGCGCACTGGGCGCGGTGATCTTCCTGAACGAGATCCGCTCGAAGCCGAAGGAGGAGCGATTTCCAACCCCCGCCCCCCCGGTTCCACAATGTTTCATCGAAAAAGTGGACCCTAACCCTCCAGGTACATTCTATAGAGGGTACTAGAGCCCCTAGGNNTATAGTAGGTACCTGGAGGGGTAGGGGGAAACGGTCAGGGCCTTCACTTTGATCTGAGGAGTGTCTGCCCTCCACGTTAGCTTCCAAGCTGGAGACGCCTGTCTGCAAGATCGTCTCGTCAGATCTTGTTTTTGGATTTTCTCATACCCCCGGTTTAACAACAGGTCTTGCTGGGTGTACCTATGTAACGTAATGTAATGTATCTATGTATGTTTGTATGCTTGCATGCATGCATGCATG